TTATAATTTTTCTTCTAACATTATTAAATAAGTAATTACACAGTAATTACACTATGATTATTTTCACTTAGTTTGAAATCTGAGATAAAATTTTAGTGGTCCATCTTGATCCCAACCACATGTACCATTCTAGCCTGCCATTCAAAAGTCAGTTATGATACTTAGTCCAGGTAGTTGCACACCTCTGCTTGAAGTGAAATAATTTAAGACGAACCTGAGATTATGGGCACGTCAGGCATCTATTCTAACATTCCCTTTTGCATGAAGCTTTTTATTTTGTCTAACCTTTCAGACCTGTCTTAATGGCTTGATTCAACAAGAAAAGTGGCTGTGTTGCTTCCAGCTGCATTAGGAAACTTTAGCAAAGCAGAAGAGCTCACATAAGTGGTAAGATCAGGCAATGATGACATGTATGGTAACGCACATATTTTATTAAGCATATACAGTAGATATTTCTTTATTTCCTCAGGTAGTTGGCGTAGCTCCCGTAACATGAAATAGAGAAGGAGTCAGCTATCTGCTCAGTGTGCTCCATAGAGAGGAAAGTAGGACAGTGCTTAAGTCACAGCTGAGTGCAAACAAATTCTCTCCACCTTTTGAACTGCTGGGCACAAACAGAAACTTGGAAATCACTTGCAAGTTATTATTGCCATTTGTATATACAATATTGTGATTTTGAACTGAGAGAAACAGCTTTCAAAACAGTACTCAAAGATATGTGGGGAGTTATGTCTGCTTATTTAAGCAGAAAGTCAAAAGTCACAGTTAGTTAATACTCAAAACAAAATGCCAGGTTCTCTAAAATTCTCTCCATGCTGGACAGTCCACATATGAACATTTTATATATGTACATACATATACGGGAGCAGAATAAAACATGTTGGAATTTGCCTCACAGCTAGACTTTAGGTTCCAACATAATCCCCCAATTTCTCTCTCTCTTTGTTTAATTTAACATGTAGTCTGAAAAAGACTTCTGGTCTAAAAACTTGAACCCTTATCTTAGGTTCTTTTAGCAAGGTTCATATGGAAAAAATATATTTGCCATATGATCTGGACAGCCACTGTGCAACAATATTTAGTTTATAACCATTCTAGTCCCAAGAATTAAAAGAGACAAAATTGAGGTTGGGGTCAGGGTGGGGAGACAATAGTAAAATTCTTCATTTCCAAAACTTAGCAAACTGTTGGCACACAATTCACTTAGTCCATCAACAAGCATTCGCCTTTTTCAACCTGATGTACAGGACTACAACTCTCACGCTAAACTGAGAATGATGGGATGTGTGATTCAATACTTCTGAGGTGGTGGGGGCTATGGAACTTTGCACCAGGCAAAGTCCTTCCAAAATATTGCACAATGCATTTTCCAGGATCAAAATGGACAGATGCCGAACTCGTTTAATAAGAGTGCTGCTTATGGCCAAATCCTCTGTCTTCAGGGCAGCTTTTCCAAATCTTGGAAATGTGGGCTGCTGCTCGTACTGCAAAACCGAGCCCCCGGAGAGCATTGTGATTCACAATCGGATTGCCGTAAAATCTGACAACTGCCTCTCTCTCTCCCAAATCCCTCAACTGACAGTGAGAACAATTAACCAGTGGAACAACCTGCCTCCAGAAGCGGTGAATGCTCCAACACTGGAAGTTTTTAAGAAGAGACTGGACAGCCATTTGTCCGAAATGGTATAGGGTTTCCTGCCTGAGCAGGGGGTTGGACTAGATGACCTTCAAGGTCCCTTCCAACTTTACTATTATTATTATTATTATTATTAT